AATGAAATGAAATGTTTTTGTTAAATTGTCTATAGACTATCTAAAATTTTATAGACGCTTTCTTTCTTCATTTTGAAATATACTGGGGGTTTACTAACAATTGAATCATTTCACAGATCTTTGAGGTTGCGATTTCAAAACCATATCAAAATAAATGTTTTGAAATAAAATCTCGAAACATTCATCTCTCCTAATGTACCTACACAATAGGTTCTGGTAAATGCCTTCCGGGAAACAACTACTTTTCTGGCTAATACCACCCTGGGCCTTAATAATGATTTATTTTTCCAAGAAACATACAATGTTTATCTTATAGCAGGGGAATAATTCAAAAACTAACTATAACATAACTAAGTACAGAACAAAGCACTATTTTGCGTCCGTATATCGGACGCGAAATACTAATCACAAATTTTGGTGTTATTAAACCCCTGAAACCAACCTTATTACAAATTTTGAACGGATATATTCATGGCTCGGTTCTGGTTCAGATAATTTACCTTCTCTCCTTACCAGATGTCAGTAATAGTTAACTCCAGTTAAGTAAACGTTAACTCCACAACACTTTTGAATATGAAAACGTTTCTCATTGAAATCGCACTTTGGAATGCGATACTTCCGTTGAATGGTCATGTTTTTCCTTGAAACGGCGTATTTTGAAACATCCTGTACACATTGAGGAATCGCAAGTTGAAACGTTAGGACCCCGACACGAAAACGAAAAACGATCGAAACGCCTGTAAAACAACATATTTTCGAACGTTAACTCTACAACACTTTTGAATATGAATACTTTTTTCATTGGGATCACACTCTGAAACGTTAGGCCCTGTGACTTAGTGCCCTTCTGGCCGCAATCTTTCTTTTTTCTCTGTCGATGAATTCTGCATTTCTTCTCCTCCCATTTGACGTGCTGTACGTGACGATGTGACTATTGTTAACGAAAATGTGGCATAGTGCCCTTCTGACCGCAATATTTATTTTTTTCTCTGCCGATGAACCCTGCATTTCTTCTACTTCCATTTGGTGTGCTGTACATGACGATGCTACTATTATTAACGAAGATGTGACTTAATGCCCTTCTGGCCACAATCTTTGTTTTTTCTCTGTCGATAGATTTTACATTTCTTTTCCTTTCATTTGATGTGCTATGCGTGATGATCCGACTATTATTAACGAAAATGTGATTTAGTGCCCTTTCGGTATATGCCACCGTATTTGATTTTTCTCTACTCCACGATGACTTCATATACACTTCTTCCTCATATAAACATATATATTACATCGTATAACTCTCACACACGTCACATCTACGTCGACTTGGGTATTCCACAAGGTTCCCCTACGAGGTCTGAAAATGACTAAACTCAAGCTCCATTAAATGGCGTATTTTGAGACACCCTGTACAAATCGCGCGTTAAAACGATAGGCCCCCTGTCTTGTTTTATTTTTCTTGAATGAGGAACCCTGTACACATTGAAGAATCACACGGTAAAACAATAGGGCCCTGTTGAACTGACATGTTTTTTCTTGAATGACTTAATTTGAGACACCCCGTACACATTGAAAAATCGCACGTTGAAACAACAGAGTCCCGTTAAACTGCCATGTTTTTTCTTTAATGACTTAAGTTGAGACACCCTGTATATTTCGATGGCAGCTATTTTTTTTTGTTTAACGCCCATGGCCATGTTTTTTTTTTCCTTAATCCTATTTTTCGTTCATTATTACTATTATACCGTTATTTTTGTAATTCAGTCACGCCGACGTATTTTGAGACACCCTGTACACATTGACGTCATGTTTTTTTCTTAAACGATGAGACATCCTGTATGGCAGCAATGTTTTTTTCTATTGCGTTGACAAATATTATCCTCCCGCGTGTTTCCTTTATCCCCACTCCTCCATTTCCCAATTAACACGAAAAAACGTATCTGACGTATTTTGAAATGTCATTGCTGAATACCCCCCATTGCCCCATTTTCAAACGTTTTCCATTGGGATCGCCCCCTGGCATGTTTCTTTCTTGAATGAGACACCCTGTACACATTGAAGAATCACACGCCAAAACGATGGAGCCTCGTTAAACTGTCATGTTTTTTAAATGACGTATTTTGAGACACCTTGTACACATTGACGTCATGTTTTTTCTTGAATCCCGATTTTTCATTCATTATTATTATATCATTATTTTTCACGCCGACGTACACCCTGTACATGTTTTTTCCTAAACGATGAGACACCCTGTATGGCAGCTATTATTTTTTTCTATTACGTTGGCAACCATGTTGTTTTCTTTAACGCCCGTGGCTATGTTGTTTTTTTCTTTGAAACGATTTTTCATTCATTATTATTATTATTATTTCATTATTTTCCACGCTGACATATTTTGAGGCACCCTGTACACTTCGACGCCATGTTTTTTCTATTACGTTGGCAACCATGTTTTTTTCTATTACGTTGGCAACCATGTTTTTTTCTTCAAACCGATTTTTCGTTCATTATTATTATTATATCATTATTTTATACGCTGACGTATTTGAGACACACCCCGTACATGTTTTTTTCTATTACATTGGCAGTCATGTTTTTTTCTTTAACGCCCGTGGTCATATTTTTTTCTTCAATCCGATTTTTTGGTATTTGAGTATTTGCAAGAAATTTCTGTTGACTGGTAGGAACTGTCATAAGTTCATCAAATAGAATATCCAAAGATGAAGATGTTGCTAAAGTTTGACGACGTTGTTCTGCAGCTTTAATATTTCTCGTGCAATCATCATAGCCAACAAATGCGACCGTAATTCTGGCGCCAAAATGTCTACGTACATACTGAACGTATTTATCTAAAATAATGCTGAATGTTTCTTCACTATCCCACACAATACGATGTAGTAAATATCCACCGTCAATGATGTATGTCGTATTAGTATTGTTAATTTCAATATTGACCTGTTGGAAACAATACGTGGCATACTTATGCATACTTATGCATATAATAACAATTACAACTTTTACAACTTTTTGACTCGTCGTATCTCAGAAACGGTGGCTCTAAGAAAAAAAAGTATTGATACATTTTTTGAAGAGAATTTTATGATCTACAATTTTTATCTGAGGTTATTTTATGATAAAACTTACCGTTTTCCTGAAAATCGCGAAAAACCAATTTTTTTTTTCGAGATTTTTTACCTTTGACCTCGAATAATTTTTTTTCCAGGAATCGCAATCATTCGGAATTTTAAAATCTTATTTTTAACTATGTTTTGAACAATTACACGCATTTGCAGCTTGTTGTAAATTTATGTACCTTTACTCTTATTTTTTAGTCTAATTTGACCGGACTACCTGTAATTATTTGGGTTGATTTTTCTTACTGGAATGGTCTGGTTTTTACCATTAACGAGGAATCTGGCCATGATAATTTCTGATTCAGAGCCGTTGGCTCTATTAATGCTGTACCCAAGCCGCCATGCCCAGCAATTTCCGCTTGAATTATTTTCTCGGTGTTGGGAGAGATTCTGGAATCTTCCAGTATAACCACCTTAACGCTGTCATAAGGCTGAGTGGGCACATTGAGCAAATTTCCTCATTTCCGACTTTCAGTAGTTTGTTCCGTATGTCTACCACGAATCCGTAGAGGGACATGATGTCTAGTCCCAGAATGAATTCGTTAACGATGCTGGCTGGCCACTAATACCTTAATTTCTATTTTGCGATTTCCAAGCCTCAGTCTCACCTCAGCTTCTCCATAGACTGTTAATCTATCTCCAGTGGCTGTTTCCAGAACAGGTACTACTGATAATTTCATCAAACTGCTTCTGTTGGAAATGTCGGCTCTCATTACTGACCTCGTTGCTCCAGTATCGATGGTAAAAAGGCACTGATGATTATTCAGAAATCCGTCGACAACCAAGCTTTTACTGTTGTATACAATCAAGGAAATTGAATACCTGGGGGCTAGGGATGCAGCAGCCAATGTACCTCTCTTAACGCAGGCTGAATTTGGTTTTTCCAAACCACGACACTCCAGTTCGGGTGATCTCGAACGCCAGTCTCTTCTTTCGTTGGATGTTGGACCTCACTAGAACTTTTCGTTGTTGTCGTGAAGCATTTTTAGCAGCTTCTAATTCTAGGGCATAAATGATGGCTTCATTCAATTTTTTATGACGTGGCATTCTCAATGACTGCTGCAGCTCCGTGTCATGAACCTCGTCGATGAAACTATGGACACTAATCCAGTGGGTGAAGTTATCCGGTGCTTCTGGATAGGCAAGTCTTACTAACCTTTCAACTTCAGCTCCAAACTCTTGGAAAACTTTCTGATGGACGTTGAGTTCTCACCTTCAGTTGAGCTTGGTAGACTTGTTGAAAGTGCTCATTACATCTGACCTCCAAAGCTGATACGACTGCTTCATAATCCTTCTGCCTATTCACTGGATTATTTTGCAGAATTTCGGAAGCCTTTCCTCGTAGTGCCAGTATGAGAGCTGTTGCTTTCTCTTCATTTCTCCACCCATTAACTACTTTATGTTTATTCGTTTGTTTCATGTCGTTCTGTTATTGTCTCGAAAATTTGTTGTTTGCAATGTGTTTTTTATTTTTATTTCTCAAATACATATCTAATATGTCTGATGATTTTTAAAATAGTATTATCAACACGAAAAAACTACTTTTCGAACCCTGAAGAAGAATTTAATCAAATTCGAAACATCAGCAAGAATACAATTGTTTTTTTAAGAAAAAATTGATCATGTTACCCAATCAACCCCCCTTTTTCAGAAATATTATTTTAATGTCTATCGCCTTACTAGATCACTTCGCGTACCGCACTGTAACGTCCACCTCACTGTGTACTTGACAGTCCGAATACGTTTGCGGCCAACGTTTACGTTTACTTTTTGGTACTCAAATATCCCAAAAAGTCATTTTTGTGGTTATCATTTTATCGCTTAGAGATATCTAACTGAAAATAAATCATTTATTTATTTTTTTATGAATAGCAAACATCGAACAATAGCCTTGATAAAAGAGAATCGTCCAATTGGTGGAATATGCTTTCGACCATTCCAGACTCAAGGTTTTACCGAAATTGTGTTTTGTGCCGTAATATCCAGAGAACAGGTGAAAGGTTATGGTACTCATTTGATGAACCATCTTAAAGATTATAATATTTCGAAAGGAATTTTGCATTTTTTAACATTTGCTGACCAGAATGCTATAGGTGAGAATATACAAATATCTACTATTTTATCTAAATAACATAATTGTATTTTTAAATTCACAGGCTATTTCGAAAGACAGGGATTTTCTAAAGATATTAAAATGACTAGGGCCGCTTATCAAGGTTATATTAAAGATTATGAGGGCGCCACTTTGATGCATTGCGAGTTGAATCCAAAGATAATCTATACAGAATTTACCAGTATCGTTAGGAGACAAAAGAAATTCGTCAAGCAGTTGATTTATCAACAACAAAGAATGGTTTCCAAAGTTCATCCAGGGGTTACTTTCTTCAAAGAAGGTTAGTTCAAAATTGGGGACATCTATATTAAAAAATATTTATTATTTTGATAACTATATTGAGATTCAAATTAATTAATATTTTTTTGCTGAATTTTTCTTCTTATAATATATTTGGCAATATTTAACAGTTTATTTAACTTGAATTACTCGAACCAATTTCAATATTTTCTATTTTTGAACTTTCAGGTGTAAAAACCATACCTATAGAGTCAATACCAGGCATTGAAGAAACGGGTTGGAAACCTGCTTCGAGAACCACAAGAGGTCAACAACTAGAGGAATCTCTGGATGTTGATATTTTAGCTGGAATGTTGAAAATTGTCTTAAATGCAGTATGTTCTACAATATTTTCTTAATAGATTTAATCATATATTTATCATTTCAAGGTCAAAAAACATGTGGACTCCTGGCCTTTTGAACAGCCAGTTGACAGACATGTAGTAACTGATTACTATGACCACATAAAATATCCTATGGGTGAGTTTAATCTTGTTAATACTAATTACTTCCCCATAAAGTGTTTCTCATAGTAAGGGTATTTTTTTGAGGTCTCTTTGCAAGTAAAAGTACAATGTCGTAGAAGAGTTACATTTTTTCAAAGAAAATTAATAAATTCAAAGTTTAATGTCAAAATGTCCCTAGGTCAAAGTCAGAATTTGAAATTTCCAGATTGGAATCCGAAGCAATAATAATTTTGTTAAATTCTGACTTCGGTATTTTATTAAGTTTTGATTATGAACTCGAAACTTTTTAAATATCTTCTTCAACTCGAAAAGGCCGGGTTGTCTCTAAATCTCTGGATGTATTGCAAAGTAAAAAAATCCTGGATTCATTAATTGTCATAAAAAATGTCATTTCAGTGTCATTCTCTCTTCCATTCTGTGAGTGGATGTGCTATTAGTTCATGAGTGACAAGTTTTAAAAAACTTGAGATTCATAGTAAGCGACATGTAGAGTTTACTCGGATGTAATGAATACAAATGAGTTCCCACATCACTTCGCTTCTGACACACTATATGTGTACAATTTTCATTATGGCCTGATCAAAGAAGTCTGCAGTGGATAATATTTGTGGAACAGAATCAGTTTTTTGAATTTTCATGAAGTCTTATGCAACAGGTATTCATACATAAACATTTATTGTGAAAGTATTATGTTTTTCAAATACAGAATATTACGACGTTGTTTGAATAGAAATAATACAGTCAATCTTAGGGCAACTTGGCTTTGACTCAAGAGGAGTAATTGACTTTTTAAAGCACACAAGTCAAGTCAGTTCCAGTTTTTTCTGATATAATCTTGATAATTTTGTTATTATTTCCTGATCGAATTTCGTTATTCAGTGTAGTTTTTGAACATTTGGAATCTTTATATGCAGTTGGGATAATTTGTGTTAATGGTGTTATGAATAATTTTGATACATCAGAGCAGTGGCGGAATGAAAGAATATAAATTGAACAATTTCATGTGAAGAACAATTTATAGAAAGGTATTATTTGTGACTTATAATCAGAGGAATTGTTTTTGAAATTAGTTTTTACTCCTAGTACTTTCGAAAAAGACATTTAATTTAACCCAAATTAAATAAAGGCTTCGAAAAAAATAATTATTTTGAAGCATTTTGGATATAAAACGAACATTTGTCATTCAGCTTGAGCCCACTTGATGTTATGTTGATGAGTCCAAACATGCTCTGCTATTCCGGTTTTGCTGGTTTCTTCTCGTTGTGTGTGTTTCTTGTGCTCAGCAATGCGAACTTTCAATGGCCTCTTAGTTTCACCAATGTATGATTCTCCGCACTCACAGGGTATTTGGTAAATGCAATTCTTGGAATCGCAGTCCGCGTTTGGTGGCTTGGTTTTCGTGAGGCTGCTACGGATAGTGCTCCCAGATCTGAAGCAGGTCCTGATATACTTGGACCCAATCCTTCTTATTTTTTCCGATAATCCTCTGATGTAGGAAAGTACCAGTACTGGTTGTGGCGGCTTCTCTTCCTTGTGGAGCCCTTGCTGTCTTCTTGCTAAAGCCTGTTCTACCATCACTCTGGAGTAACCATTCCGTTGAAGGTCATTTTAAATGATGCCTAGTTCCTTTTCGAGACCTTCCTTTGTATTACAGAGCCCGAAAGCAGGGTCTAGTACTCTTGATGATTCCTCTCTTAGTCGATTGATGGTGGTTGGATTTGCTGGTTGAGATACTGTCCTGTGTGAGTAGGTTTTCGATATACGGATGTTTCCCATTAAAGGAAATAATAACTGCAGTGGAATCCACCAGTTTTCCTTATTGATCAGATTGGGGCAGAAGAATTCAGATGGAAAATCAGAGAACAGCTAGATCCAGAACCAGTTTCAACTTCTAACATTAGCAATGAAGAACGAAGAGCCCTGAACGGGCTACGTAGAGACAACACCATCAAGTTTGTTTACTTGCATGTGTATAGAGTGGATCCCGCAACCACACAAGATATTTCAGCCCAACTGAAAACAACTTTTCCCGAGGTCACTTGTGAGTCACTAAAATCAAAACAACCAACTATATACTCATCTTTTAAAGTGGGATTATACGAAAAAGTTTTCAAGACCGCCATGAATCCAGAATTATGGCCAAGTGCTGCTTTTGTAAGTGATTTTTTAAAGTTCCGACAGAAAATACCTATAGACCGTTGATGAAACCCTCTGAAGAATGTATCTCTATGATGCTATTAAATATTCGATCAGTACGTAACAAAATAGATGATCTGTACATTTTTTTAGAAAGTCAAGATTTTCCAAATATTGTAATGTTGACTGAACATTGGCTAGAGAAGGATGAGCCTCTGTATATACCAAATTACTTTATAGTTTCAAAATACTGTAGAACTAACTCGCATGGAGGAACATTAATCCTTCTCCACGAAAAAATATGTGAAACAGTTAGTTTTATCAAATGTGATAAATATGATTATATATTGGTTGAGAAAGAATTTGAATTTTCAATGATTTACTGTCAAGTTTATGATGTATACATGTTATGCCTTTATCGATCACCACATGTAATGAATATGTTTTTCTAGAGCGACTAGAAATGCTGTTATTGCAAATCCCTTCCAAGGCACTTTTTATAGTTACGGCGGACTTCAACATAAATTTTGAAAATAAACTCTCTGGAGCAACTTTAGAACTAGAAAACACGCTGACAACATTCGATCTCACAATGCATGTTGATTCTCCTACATGTATTTCTAAATACTCAAGTACTATTCTTGACTATGTATGTTCAAATACCCGAAAAATTAGCTGTAGTCAATTGTCAGTGCTGGACTCTCTGATCATGAGTCTGTTTTGTTTAATTTCCAAGGAGGTCAAAAATTATCGAGACCAAAGAAGCGCTTTGGAAGAATCTACAGCAAAAAAAAACTTGATACTTATGTAGATCTTTACAATGATGCAAAGTGGAATGATTCACATCATCCCAATGATGACCCATTGAGTAGGTTTCATGAAACTCTCTCGAATAATTTTAATACTGCGTTCCCTATTAGCAAAATTAAAACTAAAATTTAAAAGCCATAGATCACAAAGGGCATTAAATCAGCAGAATGGTTGAAAACATTAAATCAGCAGAATGGTTGAAAATATTAAATCAGCAGAAAATCTACGATATTTAATTCGGAAATATTTAGGTAACAATGAAGGCTTCAACTCCATATATAATAGGTACAAAAACATTTATAGAACTATAAGGACTGCAAAACAACTTCATTATATGAAAAAAATGAAAATTCTGCAAACAAACAAAAAGAAAGCTGGGCAATCATCAATGACCTCAGGGGAAAAAGAATATTGCTCCTACAAAAACTGAGCTAAAATATGATTGTATTAACAAATATTACTGCACTGTGGCACATAATTTATCCAAAGATATAAAATCCTATATTAATCCCTTGACTTTTCTTAAAGACAAATCAGTTTCAGGGACGTTTTTTTTTCATGCCTACAGATGTTATGGAAATTAGAAAAATTCTTAAAGAAATTAAAAATTTAAAACTCGGCTGGTTGGGATGACATGAGCATAAAAGTATTTACCAAGTTGCCCAACTCCGCTATCACCGCTTTGGTAGAAGCTATAAATACAAGCTTCATAACTGGTGTATTTCCGGCATGTTTAAAAACAGCAATTGTTATTCCTTTTCACAAAGGAGGCAACACTAACAATCCTGCCAACTTCAGGCCTATTTCTATGCTACCTACCCTTGCTAAAATTTGTTAAACAAAGAATTATGATGTTAGTGAAAAAGCATAATATTAGTAGCAGTCGGTTTAGTTTTGAAAAACACGTAAGATGCTATGTTTCATCTACTGGAAAACGTGTATCTCAATTTTAATAATCGTAAAGTAGCAGCGGCAGTTTTTGCGATCTATCAAAAGCTGTCGATTGTGTGGATCATGAAATTCTGCTGCAAAAACTAGAAGTGTATGGCTTTAGAGATATATCTTTGAAATGGTTCAGATCATACCTGTCAGAACGTACTCAGAAAGTTAAACTCCCGGACAACATATCCCATCTCCAGACAGTTACTTGTGGTATTCCACAAGAATCGGTTCTAAGCCCAATTCTCTTGTTATATATTAACGACCTAGCCCACATCAATATAACCGCAGAAATAACCCAATTCGCTGAAATGAAAGGGAACTGCATGATTTGATCAGCATGGATATTATAAAAATAAAAGACTGGTGTGATGCTAATCTCCTGTCATTTAATATCTCAAAAACTAGAATCTTCACCCTCAAGTGCTCCACACTAGATATCTACCTGGGTACTCAGTTAATAGAAAATAAAATGTCAGCAAAATTTCTGGGATTATAGATTGATAAAAATTTGGATTTTGAAGGTCACATAAATAACCTATGTAAAAACATTTCATCAGGATGCTTTGCAGTTAGAGTAACAGCAAATGAATTGGAAACTAATATGGCAAAAAATGTGTACTTTGCTCACATCGATTCCCATCTGAGATACGGTATCTGTTTTTGGGGAACGTGTTGCCAATACATGTTTGATAGGGTGTTTGTATTACAAAAAAGAGGAATTAGAAATATGTGTAGAGTTGGATTCAGGGATTCCTGTCGACCTTTATTCAGAAAGCATAAAATCTTGACCTTGCCTTCCATACTTATATTGGAAATGTTATGTGTGGTGCAAAAAAAAATACAGGACGGAAATTTTCATTTCACCACGACGAAATACCAGAAATAAGCTCAATATAGGTTTACCGATTCCAATATCATCAAAAATTGAGAGATCTTTCATATATAATGGAAAACATGTTTTCAACCATTTGCCAATTGAGATCAAAGGCATTACATGTATCACTAAATTCAGAAAGTCTGTAAAAAAGCTTCTGATTTCAAAGGCTTTTTATTCTTTAGACGAATTCTATTCAGACAGAAATTTAAATTATATAAACAATTAATTTTAATTATTGTGTTTCAGTACCTACTGGTATTTAAATTTTGTGACTTTTTTAGCTTTTTGTTTAATGTTTACATTTAGCTCTGAACTATATAGTTGAAAATGTTTACGAAGTTGATACTTATTGTTATTTTCTATGCATTCACTTTTTATGCTTTATAGTTTTTATATTCTCATACTTACATTTATGTGTTGCATGAGAATATTCATTATTATTATTATTTATTTCAATATGTAGCATATATATTATTACTTTCTGATTACTTCTTCACCCCAAAATGCTGAAATCGCCAAATGTTCAAATATTACTTTCAATTTGTATAACTTACATTCTTTAAAATAATAACACTTTTGACAATAATATTTTATCTTCGACAATATCTTTTACGTTTTGTATCTTATATTTCTTAAAATAGTAACACTTTGTCAATGAGATTTCATCTTCGACAATAAAGTACATTTTGATTTGATTTGATTTGAAGATCTTACCTACAGATAAGGGAAACGCTACTGTTGTGAGGGATACTGATCTCTACGAACAGAAGATCGAAGAGGTGCTTCAGAAAAGAAAATATACAAAGATCGTAAGAGACCCTACTGCATCAATTGAAAGGAAGTTGTACCAGACTTTAAAAAAACACCAAGTCGATTTTTCGGAAAAAGAGAGATCATCGCTAACACCGCACCACAGTATGCTCCCTCACTTGTATGAACTACCGGAAATCCACAAAAAGGATGTTTCGCTCAGACCGATCATTATCTCCAGAGATTCAGCCACTCAGAACTTGTCCAGGTTTTTACTACCAATAATTAAACCACTGCAAGGAAAAACATCATCTTTTGTGAAAAATTCAAAGCATTTTGTTGAACTACTACTCGAATGACCTATAGTCAGATCTCGGAGGAATAAATCCAGTTATCACCCGAAGGCGATTGTGGATACTAACAATCAAAACGTCGTGACGTACCACCCATGAAAATGAATGTCGACAATTAAATCCAGCCGTATTAAGCAATGTCAGAGAGGCATTTCAAAATAGATTATACCATTGTATGGAAGTGAATGGTACTCATTTTGAACACTAAATAAAGAAAAAATGTATTGAGGTGTACAAAAGACCTTATGGATCAAAATATAGGGTTTATTAAATTCGTGAAAAAAAATTGTGCAAAGTGATATTCTGAACTGACCCAAATAAAATTAAATCGACACTGTTTGCTTCATTCATTTAATGTAATTAACTGTCGTAATGTACCATATTATTATAAAGATGACGATAACCACGTTTACACATGTTTTTATAGCAATTTGGTTCGTGTGTATCAATGGATCGTGTGTAACTGCCACTACTACCTTTATAAAACCTGTTTGAGATTAATATTTTTGCTAACATAACACACTTGTACCTAACTGCATGCAAATTTGACATTTGCTTGCAACACAATATGTTTGGAGGGTACATTTGATGAAAAGGCAGCTAGTGCACCATTAATTCATCCATACTTGATTTTTTCAAAATGAAAAAAAAAATCTATATTTATCACAAGCTAAACCTTGATACATTCAATGGACTAAAGTTTTTATTATTGAGTCATCTCAAAAGTTTTAGCATTATTAAACCGATCTGATAACATGTTAACGCTGGTTTTAGTAACATCAGTTGTTAAAATCATATTTCAGGGTGCTGTGTAAACGTGGTCTATATTTTTCAAGTAAACAAACACCCGATGAGGTTATTATTTTTTCACAGATCTCAAAACAATGACTGATAGGCTGAAATCGAGGTACTATGTATCCAGAAGATTATTCATAGCTGATATGATGCGAATTTTCACCAACTGTAAGATTTATAACTCACCTGAAACCGAATACTACCAGTGTGCGGAAAATTTACAGCAGTACTTTCAAACACAAATGAAAGAAATTGGATTATGGGACAGATAAAAAAAAATCAACATGTTTTGTGTTACTTGGAAATATATGTGTATAATCAGGTAACTGAATAACTATATGATTTCTGTAAAAGTTGTCAAACTAGTGAAATATACATTGGTTCCCATCATGAAAAAAATCATCGATACATCTTTTGAGTTATAGAAGTGTGTGAAATAGCAAAAATTTTAATTTAATTTTAAAATGGAGATCCCAATGAAAAATGTAATCATCAGATAATTTCCATTCTTCCTGTTCTATTAACATTCATTGAAAAATTGAACAATAGATTATTAGAATATTTAAAAAATATTGATTTTCTTTATAGTAGACGATATGGTTTTCACAGGTTGAGTGAGTGATACGGAGTCAGCTGTATTGGAAATGGTATACAAAATCCAACTTCAATTGAAGTCAAATAGTGTTTGTGGTATTTTATCAGTTGATTTCCGGAAGGCATTTGATACAGTGAATCATAATATTATTCTACAAAAGTTGAACTTTATTGACATTGGAGGAATAGTACTAACATGGTTTCAAAATTATCTTAGCAACAGAAAGCAGTGACTTATATACAGGAAAAAAAAATTCATTGAAAACCATCAAGTGTGGATATAGGAATGTAGGCTTTCACGGCTGGCGGTTGGCTTCACCAATCAAAATATCGAGTGTGGAGTTTGACAAGGTTCTGTTTTAGGTCCAACTCTAATTCTAATTTACACCATTTCTATGTCGTTCTATCAGTCATCTTGCTGATGACATAACCCTCATTGACTTTTCTGAAAATACCGTAATATTAGGGGGCTGTGAGAGATCATAATACTAGTTATCTTTCTGATGGGAATTTCATGAGTTGCATTTAAATTTTGATAAATCTTGCAATGGTTATATCTAGAACAAATTCAGCTAACAAAACTTTTTTCCTTAATTTCAATAATAATTTGATAAAATTCAAAAAAGAAATAAACTTTTAGGCTTATATTCAGATCAGAATTCATCATGGAATTCACATATCAGTCGACTTGGACTTGTAGGTGTATTTTATGAAATGAGAAATATAATTCCATTTAAATATTTGAAAACAATTTTTTTTTAATTTAATTTATTCGCTGATTAACAGAAAAACAGATTTTAAATACATTTTTT